CCGCAGGACAGCCCTCCTCGCCAGACCTTTCAATCGCCTCAGATACCCTGATCACCCACATGGATTGGACCATCATGACCACTCTGTCATCCGACCACCTGCCAATCATCATTACACTGCAAGCAGACTATCAGACAACCAAGACCCCGAAAATCACCTTCACTAACTTTGCCAAAGCCGACTGGGAAAAATACACTGCCGACACCGAGGCCGCCTTTGAAAACTCCGTCTTCCCTGCCAACTTATCTACAGCCGAACATCAGTTTCGTAAAATTTTAATCAGCGCAAGCAACCGTAACATTCCTTCAGGCCGTCACATTTGTTCCAAGCCGGGCCTTTCCAAAGACATCAACCTCACCCGACAGCGAGACATCCTCTGTGCCGCCAACCCCACTTCCGACGATGTCGCGGCCCTCACTGCCCGCATCCACCAGCTCACCAACGACAACAAAAAAGCCCGCTGGAAACAATACCTCTCTACCTTTAACCGCCACACCAACGTAAATCGCCTCTGGTCAACAATAGAGGCCCTGGCCGGCAAACCTAAAAACTACCCCAATATCGCCATCAACTTCAATGAGAGGCCCATCAATAACACCAAAAAGCTTGCTGATTGCTTCAACAGTCTCTTCACGGCTGTCACTCAACACAGGTCTAATAAACTCAATAGAATCACAACCCGGAAGTCAAAGAACCTCGACCTATCGGACAGTCCCTCCTTCTCATCAGCACAAGTGGCCAACGCAATCAAACAATCCCGTCCCTCCAAGGCTACTGGACCAGACAAATTAACCATCTTTCACCTCAAATATCTTGGACCACTCGGAATTGCTTACTTGACATGCCTTTTCAATGAGTCCCTACGCACATGCCGAATCTATGCACATGCCTACGCACATGCATTTACAAATCTGCCAAAGTCATACCGCTGCTCAAACCCGGCAAACCGGACAACGACGCTAAATCCTACCAACCAATCTCCCTGCTTTGCCCTGCCATCAAAGTACTAGACAGATGTTTGCTACTGTAAAATGGGGTAACTTAGACCGGCGGGGTAACTTAGACCACTTTTAGTTTTTTTAACAAAAACCCCCACAACTCAAAAACTATTTGACATAGAAAAATTTTGTCAATGGGAATTAAAGGCCTAATACTGAGGCTACATAACACAATAGAAAGATTTGAAAAGTTTGCATATCTAATAGGTTAAAAAATCAAAAATGTGACCCACGAAAAAAAGCTATTATTTAAAGCCTCTCAGAGTACCCCCTCCAATTTTTTTATTTTTTGGTTAAATAACTCCAGGCTTTGATGCATTGTAGTAGAACTCTTCTAGTTACATATGCAAATGACAAATTTTAGGAAAGTGTCATAGTTTGAAAATGGGGGCGCTGCCCCCAAATGGGGTAACTTAGACCACCTAATGTCAGCCCTGACGGGGTAACATAGACCGGCTTGGAAGTTAATATAAAATTACCATACATAACATATTTTATGTTTGACAGCCTATATGTTTTTTCTTTATGTTTCAGACTCTACAGAGTCTTATATATGACACTTTTTTTGAAATTACATAAAGACTATGAGAGGCAGGAGCCAGCAATTTATGGTGAGTGAAGCTAGAGTATAGACCTGTATTTTGCATGTTTCAATTCAAGTTTAATTTAGCTAGTAAAAAAATGGCATCATTTATAAAAAATAAAGTGGTCTAAGTTACCCCATTTTACGGTACCCATTATCACCCAACACCTGCCCCTAGCTGATCACCAACATGGATTCTGGCCTGGACATTCGACCACGTCTGCACTCACCCACCGAACCATCATTGCCGCACTGGACCTCACTAAGGCCTTCGACACCGTCAACCACCGGATACTGATCGACGACCTTCTTGCCTCCCCACTACCCGGATCTATCACCCGCTGGATCTCCAACTACCTACACGGCCGTTCTGCCTCAATGGAATTCCGGCATCAAAACTCTAAACACCAATTAATCCACACAGGTGTTCCACAGGGCTCTGTCCTGTCTCCTGCCCTCTTCAATTACTATGTCTCCAAGGCACCCCAACCACCACCCAACATTAAGATTATCTCCTACGCTGACGATTCCACAATCTACAGCACTGGTCCCGACGCTGACATTCTCACTCAAAGCTCACTCAGCAACTCAACGACTACCTCCCCCAACTCTGCAACTTTTTCACTATCTGCAACCTGGAAATTTCTGCCAGCAAATCAACAGTCACCCTCATTACACCGCACACGGCCCAGTACAATCACCACCCTCAAGTCAAGATCAACAATCAACTACTTCCGCTAGAACACAACCCAAAAATCCTTGGCTTAACCTTCAACACCATGCTCACCTTTACCCCCACCACAGAACTACGGCAGCAAGAGCCTCAAAACGCAACAACATACTGAAAGCACTCTCAGGCACTTCCTTTAGACAAGGCAAGGAAACCCTACTACAAACATACAAAGCCATCGGTCGCCCAATAATTGAGTACGCCAGCCCAGCTTGGTCTCCTGTCACCTCTCCTACCAACATCACCCGCCTCCGAACAGTTCAAAATTCTGCTCTGAGAACCATAACCGGTTGCCACAACACAACTGCCAAACAACATCTTCCCTCCGAATGTCAAATGCTCACTGTTCAACAGCATACTGACCTCCTCTCAGCCCAGTACCTTCTGCGGAGCCACCTCCCTCAACACGCCTGCCACCAAATCACAAGACCGCACCCCCAACCCCGCAACATCAGAGATACTCTTTTCACCAAATACATAAATGCCGTTCAACCTTCACTTCCAGCCACTATTAACAGTGCCACCCTCAATGCAGCTAGCAGCACTCTCCATTCCAACGCTGCCCGAGCTGCTATTGACTCATACCACCCATAAGTTCTGCTCAATGGCTGGCCTCCTCCACTCCTGGCTATAGATAAATCTGAACTAACACTTCAAAGATCCGCAAGACGAACGCTAGCACAGCTTCGCTCCGGCCATTGCATACTTCTGAACAGCTACAAAAAGCAGAATTCATAACAACATCAATAACCTATGCAACTACTGCCACCTCTCCCCGGATGATGTGCCACACCTCTTCAACTGCCCCAACAATCCAACTCCACTCAGCACCATAGACCTAGTCTGGAAAAGTCCTATTTTTGTCTGAAATATCGCGGCTCGAATGTCATAAATTTTTGTTTGATTAAAAAATCGCGGTTTGCACTTCGCAAACATGTCATTTCATAAAATTTTCAACTTCCGCAATCTGCATTGCTTTACCGTTTCCGCCAAAAATATCTTGCAGAAAAAACATAAACATCGTAATGTAAACAAATAAACAAAACGTTTGTTGAAGATCGCGCATAGTTGCGGTCATGTGAAAGCGGTCAGACTGTATATTAACACGTGCTGAACTTACAGTAGAGACAAATTTTATTGTTGCCGTTTGACTGTTTAAGGGTAAAATTAGAGATTTGGGGTAACACGTGCATAAACTTTGTAAATAAATTAGCATTCGCACCTCGTAAATGGCTTTTCATGGCCGAGATATGGAATTCACGGCTCGGTGAAATAGAATCACGGCTCGTAGAAATGGAATCACGGCTGGCAAATCCATAAAACCACGGCTCGAAAAATTCAGTCGCGGCTCGCCAAGTAGATATATTCCATACTAGCCATAGACCTTTGGAGGGACCCAGCTGCGGTCGTGCGTTGGCTCCAGCCACGGCTGGATCAATGACGCCGGGATCAGGCGCGGGGCAACAACAACAACAACATGGTTTTGGACACACAAAAACTAATTCTGACACAGCTTGGAATTAGACATAATACACACACAGCTTGTTCTGAGCTCAGCGAGCTCAGAGTCAGAGCTGTATCCAAAAATTATTATTTTCTTAATTAAAAGCTTAAAAGCTCTTAATTAAAAGCTTAATTATAAAATTCAAAATTTTAAATTAAGCTTGTCCCAAGCTGTGTCGTATTCTGATACAGTTCAGTGAGCTCACAGCCTCACAGGCTCACACAGTGACACAGGCACAGGGCATCAGAATTCCAACACAAGGAGCTGAGGGTGCCGGAATTAAAAATTAATAGAGTTAGAAGCGCTTCCAGAATTAGTCTCACATACTCACAATATGCCAAATTTAATCACACACAGCATTGAAATTCAGAGATTTTGTAGGTTTAAATTTTAAAGGCTTTTAAATAAATATGGCAACAGTTTATGATGTTTCATCATTGCTGGCACCGTGGCATGTAGTCATGTAGTATGGTGTTTTGAGATCAGAACTTGAGTTGCGCATATGGTGATTTTTTTATAGCCATTCATTTCTTGCTAGTATGTCCTTAATGTATAGGAATATACTGCTTATTTACCGCATTTACCCTATGTAGGTTTATACAGATTTTTTCTGTCACAACTTAGCTTCCTGAAACCAATGCACCAGGCAGTTAGAGTGCATTAAGTGCAGGACAATCTTAGACTTAATCTAATCAATTGATCATATTCATAGATCATAGTCAAAATTAGTCATACAGACATACAGTGCTGTCTGACTGTGCTGATTGCCTCACGCTCACAGTCTGAGTCACACTGTCACAGAGCAGGCAGAATTAAGCCTTAAAAGTTAAAAGCAGCAATGGTAACTTATACATGTATTATACACGGTGGGGGTGGGTTAACCGTTAAAGACATTGAAGGTCGAGAAACCTTTCAAAGAAAATGCTTAATATGGCCTGTCGTTCGTCCTCAGCTTTCTCAATGTCAATGACGCAATCAGGCTGAATCAGCCTCATCAGGGATTGTGAGACTTCGTATACACTATCCAGTACCTCATTAATAAAAACAACTTTTAGCCTAGCAACAATAATTATGTACAGTTTAACTTACACACTAACGCAATAATTCCTATAGATATAAATTAAACAACAAATTTTGATTCAGATAAAGCAAGGAGACAGCCTCAGCAAAATTCTTATCGCCAACCTGTCTGTTCTCGCGTAACTAAATTTTGGTTTCCGTCTTTACGTCACGACTCACGACAGCAGATCTCATATTACTGGAACACTACCCTGAGTGGTGAAACGAAACGACCTTGAGCTCTCAATCTCAATGTTCAGTTGTTCACCATAAATTTGCTTCAATGCGTGCGTGTATATTTTTTATATAAATTCTTACTATTATAGCAATTGGAAAATATTTCAGGCCAAATGAATTTTTCGCTATAATTTATAAGCATATGCCTTGCTCCCTAGGGCGTTGAATTAATTAGAGACATATACGTTTTCAAGCATTAGATTTATCTAATATCGGATAACACTTAGAGCGTACATTTAGAATATGTAGAAATTTTTCATTTATTTATATTTAAATAGCTTAGTTTGTTACGATTTTTACAATAATGGAGACATCATACATCAACAGTCCCATTGCATTGGTTTCTCCATGTCGGAGCCTGCCAGTAGAGGGCGCGCTGTATGCATGCGTTTCCGAGAAAAAAATGCCGTCATCTCCTGTCATTCATATAAAATAATGAAAGCATAAATATTTTTCATCGTTTCATTTCAATCCTGTCAGAGTTGATTCAAGTAATATCAGTTAGTAACATGGTGCATAACAATGATGTCCCATATCATCAAGGATATATTGACGATTTAAAACGTGCACCAAGTTGGCGCCGATCAGGCAACCAAGGCGGTCGTGGCATCCATTACTTGTGAACATTTGTGATAAGCTGGACGTTCTCATTGAAGTAAAAGTTCGATTTTGAAACCCATGTCTTTTAGAGTAAAGCCTTTTTGTTGGAGGGAACTTATATGCGCGGAAGAATTTGGCTGTCAGTAGTTTTGTACATTTTTAATACAGGACCCATGGGGTTCTGAAGCCTCGAAAGCATGCAGCATCACAATAATCAGAGTAACAGGTACCGGAGTTATGCGCCGAAACAGTATTATTCAACAGGTGAGTATCACTGACTCTAAGTAACAAGTAGTAAATGATATTCTACGGCATGTGTCTACTGTTTTACTAAAATTTTCCTCTGTTTATGGTAATGTAATAGGTTAAAATAAGTACACCTCCAAATTTTGTTCTACCCCACCCATTCTGTGGATTTTATTTCACTTTTTTTAAACTCAAATTAAGTTTGTTAATTCTTTTCTAATAATCATAATGTTATGAGGTATATTTTTCTTTTATTTAAATGAAGTCCTAATTTAGATTGCAAACTGCCTAGTTTTTAATTATTTGAAGAAAAATAAAGGTTGCATTTATACAAACTGAGAAAATTTGATATTGAATGTGTTTTCACCATCATCATGTTAAAAAAATATGTTTGATTACAGCAGTTAGTCAACATTAGCAATTACATAATTAACAAATCAAATAGTATTCATGTTACTTGATTGTGTTTGCTTGACCTTTGACTTTCAGAAATTCAATCTTTAACCTTATTAACTTGTAGTTGATGTTGTCAACTTGTCATCCTAACAACCTATACTTAGGCTTAATTATTGGATTGCATGTGTGACTTCATAGTTAATGCTATCCAGACCTTCTGAAATATGCTCCTATTGACCATCTGACAAAGCAATCACCTAGCAATGAAACATTGAATTTGAATACTCACTCACTCAGCCTGACTCAGGTTGTCAACCAAGCACTATATACCATTAAACTGCTGCAAACCATTACCCAACCCAGCAATACAACATTGAACTGCTGCAAACCATCACCCAACTTAGCAGTTGCTACATTCCATCACCCATTGAACTGCTACATTCCATCACCCATTGAACTGCTACATAGTACATACCATCACCCATTGAACTGCTACATACCATCACCCATGAACTGCTACATACCATCACCCATTGAACTGCTACATACCATCACCCATTGAACTGCTTCTTACCATCACCCATTGAACTGCCACATATCATCACCCATTGAACTGCTACATACCATCACCCATTGAACTGCCACATATCATCACCCATTGAACTGCTACATATCACCCAATGAACTGCTACATACCATCACCCATTGAACTGCTACATACCATCACCCATTGAACTGCTTCATGCCATCACCCAACTTAGCAGTACAAAATTGAACTGTTGTAATTCTGACAAAAAAGTGCAAGCATGTGCACATATTCATACCAAATAATTGGATTTTTAATTAATTTTGAATGAACCATCTTTTATCTTGGTAAAGTGTAGCATTTTGAGCAATTTTTCTCAAGACTTTTTTTAAACAAGAGTGCGGAAGCTCTTACATCTGACTCAAGCAAAAAGTATTGCTTTATAGCAACTAGACAGCATTTATTAGCTATGTATGCTTCCTGAAAAGTAGTGACCAAATTTAATAGTTAAATTGGACTTTTAAGACTGGCCTGATGACTTTAGGGATCTAAATGTGTAGAAATATTGCTCCTGCTATTCAAGTACAAGGATTCAAAAGTTTAACAAATTTAGTCATTGATATTTCTATTGGTTATGCAGATAGTTGAATTGATACAAGCACCTGTGGATAAATACTCTATTCTGTGATTGGGCTATTTGAGTTTTAAATAGATAATATTGCTAAATTTTGGGATTATTATTTAACTTCTTATTGATGATTCCCTGAATAATTGGGATATTAATGAGGAAATTTATAATAATAATTGTAAGTCCTTGAGGTAATTGTAACTAGTATATCATAATATTTTATTCCTCAATTGTTTTAGTAAGCTGTGTTGTTGATTAAAATGCTGTCTTAGATCTGATGGTAGAAATTAGTATATGTTCAGTTTGTGTGGCATGTAGGCACAGCTTCCAAACTATTATGTTATCCATATGTTTTATGGTAATTACAATAACATCAAACCCATGATTATAATGAATCATTGCTGTTCAAGAAGAGAACTTATTGGTGATAATTGATGCTTAATACAAAGATTTCTTCGAATTGTTTAATTTGATTAAGGACATGTTGTGGCAGAAGCACCTTCCAGTATCAGTCATCATTTCCTTTGCGGTAGGTACCAATTTTACATTTTTCTCAGCCTCTTGTTGTGGGAGGAAGGCAGTTTCAGTACAAAACACTTGTTCAGTTGTGCATTCGTATTAAGTTTGAACACAGCACAGACTGCGATGTTTATAAGCCTTATAAAATGCCCCTTTTTGATTAAAGTTTGAGCTTTGTGGGAATATCTATTCAATGCATTAACATATTGCACAATTATTAGGATTCAATCTATGTATTTATACCGCACCCAGTCAAACGCAGGCCGTTTCGACCTACCAAAATTTTTTTATTAAAGAAGAATACTCGTGAGTTACGCGGAGATTATAGAGTTGGCTGTGTACTAAAGGCATTTAAATGTCCGTGCTTTCATTTGTGAGCTTCGATCGTGGTGGCAGTGAAAGTAGCAACCTTGCATTTATATACGTACACGTTCGGAAAGGAAGCTATACTCGTTAGTTTCTTTAATTGATGCTATGTACGTTAAACCCTGACCGATGTGCGATCGTTTCTTATAGATGTAATTTTGGGATTGAGAAGATAACTTATATATACCGATATTTTATTTTTGAATGCCGTTATCAATTTGATCATCGTTTACCAGGAACTCGACTGTCTTCGCCTCGATTGTGCGTAGATGCAAGGCAACTCATCACTTATTATGATACGCATATTACGTATAGCTGCAACAAGCTGCCTCATCAACTTTGTATGCTTGAACAACTTATGAGCTTACTGAATTTTTCTCCGAGTGGCATCAGTAGCCTTGCTGACATTCAGCTCTGGTACTGCACTAATCAACATAACCTAAAGGAACACGGAGCGGCTACGAACGCCAGCATCACTCTTTTCAGTGTGAGAATGCAGCCGCAAGACTGAGTCATTCCTTCTTATTGCACTCATAAACATCAATGGTTCGTATTGTCCAAATAGTGTCCACGCCCTTTCGGCGGACAAAACTTGGTCAAGATGACTTACGCAGGGTTTAAAAAGTGCATCGCTACTTGGACCATGACTTACCCCTTTCTTGGGTTATTGTCGTTGTTACAAGGTAGCCGCAATTATTTGTACTGCCGAGGAACAAAACATTGTATAGATCAGAATGAAAATAAATATATAATTCCTCCGCCTTGCCATGAACCACCATGTTCGCGCCCCAAGATTGGGTCGAGCCTCATAGTTAGGGAGTCACTTGTTTAGACTAAACCCGGTCTTCGAAACCATTTTAATTTTATATAATGTTACGACGAAGTTTTTTCTTAACCATTGTTAATGATAGATTTGATTTTAAGCGTCCTCGCATGCGGTTATTACTGGATACGGTGCCACCCATGGACAGTATTTACATTCTCTGAGATAATGTATCAATATTTTACTTATAAATCATCTATAAATTGAATGCTATCTTCATCACATACATTTCACTTGGCGTAATTTGTTTTAATAAATTTGCCCAGTTCTATTTTGTGATTCATTCGCATATACGTGCCTCGCCATTGTAGACGAGCAACAATAACACGGTTGCCTTCTTTCTTGACTTTTGTGACGTTGTTAGAGGAGCGATCACATGTTTATTGTGCTAGGTTATCTACTGTTAATTGTGATGGATTATCTACTGTTAACTACGCTGAGTTATCTACTGTTAATTGTGCTGGGTTATCTACTGCAGAGACTCCGATTGGTAGACCTGTTAATTGTGCTAGGTTATCTACTGTTAATTGTGATGGATTATCTACTGTTAACTACGCTGAGTTATCTACTGTTAATTGTGCTGGGTTATCTACTGCAGAGACTCCGATTGGTAGACCTGAGTGAACGACGAGAAGCTTGCCCTAAAAAGCAATCAGAATGTCCTGTAGTAAAATTCTACAAGGCTATACATACAATATTTAGAACGATGCCAGAAATTCTAAATATTTGATACAAATGCAATTTTTGACAGAATATTACTTAGAAAAATCCTGCAAGACTCATTTTTTATGAAGAGGTCGTTAGAAATG